AGAGAGAGAGAGAGAGAGAGAGAGAGAGATAGAGAGAGATTGTCTGAGAATGGAAAAAATATAACCCCTTGTGATATTACTGGTTATTCAGATATGGAATAGAGACTGTCTGCGAATGGAAAAAATAAAACCCCTTGTGATATTACTAGTTATTCCGGAATTAGGAAGAAAAAAAAAAGAAGAAGAAAACCGTGGCAGTTATATTTATGTATTAAGATTGATTGTGACATTGGGGTGATCTTTTTGGCTGTGAAGCCTAGTCTAGTTATGTAATTTATATGTGAAAATAATAATATGATTTAATTGGTTTCGATTCAATTGTTCACTTTGTAGCAGGAAACTCCTATTGGGGTTCACTCCCGGCCCCACTCCCAACCTTAAAACTCTTCTATAGGGCTGTCGCTACCTGGTCTCCCCTCTCCCACTTCATGCAACTATGGTTTTAGGAAGAGAGGGAGCTGGTGTTTCTTAGTTGGCTTAGAAAATAATGCTCTAAAATTGTGAAACATTCTTCCTTGTCACCGGTATAATGTGACTGAAACTTTATAGTTTTTACTATATCCATCTAACAACATTTTTATAAATACTTGTCTGAGTCTACATACGAAGTAACAATGACAGAAGAATATTGGAATTGAAAAAGCTAATAATTCACTGGATCTTCATCTGGGTTACTAAGTTCACTTCTACACCATCATTAGATATATATCTATATCTCAAATCATCCTAATATTAGGTATGGCATGATCTCTATTGTTATTGAGTGCCGTAAAACCTCTTTACTCATCCTAATTAACATGGTTTTTAAGGTGAAACAACTTCCCTTATTAGCCTAATGCGAAACCTAAGGAACCGAATGACTAACCTTGATATTTTCTCTGACTCCACCCTTAACGCTACAAATATGTTCTTAAATCGTTTGAAGATATTTAATAGCTGCTTTTGTTGTTACACAGCACATATAAAAAATGTAATATGGAAACATATTGATGTTGATGATGCAGTTAGCTAGTTAGATACTGTAAATACTGGGGACATGGAAACCTTCCTAGTGGACAGGATTGGATGTGATTTTCCTGGAGAGAGAGAGAGTGTGTGTTTTGGCTTTATTTATTCCCCCTTATATATGCTCTCTTTCACTGTCTCCAATTATCAGCGTCTTATTCAGACACATCTCATTCTGTCCCAAAAGAAACCGCTCTGGTCCACTGGTTGGCTCATGTTCTCTATCCGTCACGGGAATGCCTTAACATTGTCCTTTGGGTTTCATTCATTGTAAGGACAATTTGTGCCCCTTGATCTTCACGTTACAATTCTTCCATTTCCCAATTGCACAACTTTTATTTTTCTAGTGTAGTTTTGTATTGTTTTGTTATTCAATTGATATATGGTAGTAACTTTGATGAGAACAGAATGGTCCAAATGGTGATCAGAAGAATCATAGGGAGAAAATAAAAAATCAATCGCGATTGAAACCTAAAGTACACCCATAGTACATCACACGCTAGAGAATGTTGAGGAGGTTAATAGGTATCTTCTCATTATAATACTTATTTCTACGGAGATGGTATACATACAACTATCCACGTTATGTACTAGCTATAGAAAACAAAAAACGAATGAGGAAGAAAGGCATTTGGATTGAACTCATCCAACAAATCATATGATTTATGTTTTGATTCAGATATCCATCTTCAGATTGCTAGCTTCATTGGAGCCTGCAAATGAAAGAGTCATGTTTCTTTAGATTCAACACCAAAAAAGAGCAAATGTTATTTATAGTCATGTATGGGTTAGAGAAACTGCATAAGAATATATATGGATGTGGATAGCATAAGATGCATACAGTGAGAATCCAACGCCTGTGATATTGTCATATCTTAAGTTAATCAATGCGATCAAATGATCACAACCGTGTGATTTTGTGGGTGTAGAATTTGACTTTTTTTTTTTTTTGGGGCAAAAGTCTTGATAATGTATGTTGCACTATTTAATAGTGGATTGGTGATATATAGATGGCCATTTTGTGTCCATCAATAGCCAAAATGCGCCACTCATTTTGTCAGGGTTTTGGGAATTTATGGTCATCGAAAGGGTCCGATGACTTCGGTCCTTTTAGGTGGAAGACAAAGAAAAAGAAAGATACCTAATAGGCAGCTTTCTTGATATAACTCAAAGAAGACCCATTTATTCTTGAGAAAAATCATTAACATTTTGTGGGGTTCCCTATGGTCTCTCTCATACATAGTAAGTTCCACTTTGCTCCATTTTTCTTACTTCCTTTGTAGGGCTCCAAACCAACTAAGTTGTTCATGAATAGCTTGAACTTGGTTCGTTTAAAACTCTTTTGAAGCTCAAGCTATTTTTTTAGGCTCCTCCACTAAATGAACAATATTAATTTAGGTTCCATTTTTCTTTTCAAGTTTGAACTCAAGCTCTTGCTTGGCTCGTTGGCTCGAGCCAAGTTTGACTAATTTTTAGCTAGCCAAGCTCGAACATCACAAAACTTGGTTCAATTAGGCTCGATTGTAGCCCTACTTCTTTCTTATACAATTATTAGAAACAGGAATTGAAGATTGACATTTGACAATACTTGTTAGTTCTATATACCTGTAAATTGCTGGGCTTGAAATGATGGTGATCTTCCTTGGAGAAACTCCACACCATAAAGGTTATGTAAATTGGCTTCCCAAGCCGATGAGGATTGTATATGTTGTAGTGTGGATGAATTAAACTTTTGTGAGAAATTTAAAAATATATGTATAACATTCAGATTGGAGGGGGAAAATATTAGTAGTAGAAGAAATTACATTGAAACAGGACGAATCGAGAAATGTTTCAGGGCTCGATACGGGGGCGCTGATCGTTCTTCGAAGTGCCATATCAGGAGCGTTTATTCCCATTTCCAACCCGCTACACGAAACTACTTGTTGTAATGGATTAAACTGTAGGTAGGCAGGGTTAGCGATCTCTGATGATACCTCGATTGGAAAATTGGATGTGCATGCTGAAAACACCTGTTTTATAGAAATGTTTACATTAAAATGTTTTGGAAAATTGTTAACATTGAAATGTTTCTACTTTGTGATGTCTTTACCTCTGTCACTACAAAATTGTCGATGTTGAAGTCGAGTGTTGGATTTACAGCAGCCAGTTTCATGGATAGGAACTGTGTTTTGGCAACAATAACAACATAGGAAGATTATCACTTTACCCTTCTTAAGAACAACAATTGAATTAAGTGTTTATGATTACTATGTTTTCTATCTCTACTTGTCTTTGAAGAGATTGAACATAGTTGATGATTTCATCAAGCATACCAGCCTTTCCCGTGATCTTATTACATCCCGGTACTAAATCTTGCAGATATTTTGTTCTCTCACTAATTTTCTCTCCTCACATGCACAATTTCACAGATATATTGCACAAATTTTGTACCATCTACAACTATAGAGATCTAAAAACATATATAAGTTCAATGGCAACACTCGAACGTACTCTTTCGGCCAAGCTATGGCTGTCAGTGGCTTGGCCACGCCGTGCACGAACGTGAATGTAATCAGGTTTTTGAACCTCCGAAACCTTCGAGTTCTCCTTGGAAGTATCTGCAGATGTTTCTCTCTTGTTGTTATTGTTGTTGCTGGTGTTCTTGCTGTCGTTGTCGCTGTTGCTGTTCTGCTCCGTGATCTTCGACTCTCCCTGTTCGGTACATCCTCTGATCCTTTTTTCCTTACAATCTTCTTCTTCTGCTACTGCCTGAATATGTGTCAAATTTTCTTAGTTTCCAAACATATATTTTCTTCAATTTGTTAAAAAGTATTCTGTTATTTTGATTGTGAGTGAATCAAATGCTCACAATTTATAAAACAAAAGAAAAGAAGACAAACCTTGAGGTTATGGCTCTTGTCAGCCTTTCTCTCCTTGAAGCTCATCTTCTCTGGCAAGACAGAAGAGTCTCTCTGTTTTGCTTCAGTCACTGCTGTAGCCGTAACTGCCACCTCCGATATCACTGCTGCCGGGTAGCTAGTAGTCCTGGAGAGGCCATAATTCATCTCGAACCCGTTCAAACCCGAAATCTCCGGTGAACTGCCTGAAATCCGTCCACCCGTTTCCATGCCTGGATCCGTTTTCACTGTACGCGTCATAAGCTCGTTGAGTGACATATGATCACCACCCTGAAATTGCTGACCCTGAGGTGGCAAAGAAAAGACACTGTTCAATTCATTTCCCTCAAAAGCCTCCACCTCAGGAGAATCTTTAATGGAGGTGTAGTTTTTATTTTGGAGTCGAAACATTTGATATTGAGCCCTTTTTTGGATTACTATTAGGAATCTCTCTCTCTCTCTCTCTCTCTGATAAATACTATTAGGAATCTCTTTCTTTTGTTTCTTGATTGATTTGCCGGAAGAATTTAGCTTATGGGTTGATGTATAGTTTGGCCTTTTTCCCTCTTATGTAATTTTTGCCCGGGATTTCTCCTTGTGTCTCGTTCTGGATTTTATCTACCAGGAAGAGGAAAATTCTCCTTCATTATTCCCCCCTTGAGATACAACATGAACAAAATAAAGTTGGTTGTCTTAAGGCTGGTCATGTTGAATTCTCAAGCTATTTAATCTTGGATTAGAAAACTTAGGCTGTCGTTGATTTAGTAGTACTGGAGGCCCAACATCAATCATTATATTCTCCTATGTGTTGGAGGGCTAACAAGAATTTGAATCAAATGGAAGTTGATTAGATGGGATTTTGGTGTGCTGAGAAGTAATACCTATTGGGAGCAAATATCAATCATTTTATTCCTCCTTTGTGTCTGCTTAGCAAAATCTTATGGAGCTGTGTGATTTAAATTGGTAATCCAATTTTCCCATTATGATTTATAAAATCCAGTAAACATTTTGCTGTGGAAATTTTTATCTGACCTGGGGTGTTGGGAAGGAAGGTTTGGCCCTTGTGCACTACTAGCGTCTAACTTATATTTACTTATTCTTGTATATGTATTTTATCACCACAGCAAAATAATTGTTGTATTTTGTGTCATACAAATTAAGTTTTTTGCCCTCAAAGTTGTCTTTTATGGAGCTGTGTGATTTAAATTGGTAATCCAATTTTCCCATTATGATTTATAAAATCCAGTAAACATTTTGCTGTGGAAATTTTTATCTGACCTGGGGTGTTGGGAAGGAAGGTTTGGCCCTTGTGCACTACTAGCGTCTAACTTATATTTACTTATTCTTGTATATGTATTTTATCACCACAGCAAAATAATTGTTGTATTTTGTGTCATACAAATTAAGTTTTTTGCCCTCAAAGTTGTCTTTTATGGAGCTGTGTGATTTAAATTGGTAATCCAATTTTCCCATTATGATTTATAAAATCCAGTAAACATTTTGCTGTGGAAATTTTTATCTGACCTGGGGTGTTGGGAAGGAAGGTTTGGCCCTTGTGCACTACTAGCGTCTAACTTATATTTACTTATTCTTGTATATGTATTTTATCACCACAGCAAAATAATTGTTGTATTTTGTGTCATACAAATTAAGTTTTTTGCCCTCAAAGTTGTCTTTTATGGAGCTGTGTGATTTAAATTGGTAATCCAATTTTCCCATTATGATTTATAAAATCCAGTAAACATTTTGCTGTGGAAATTTTTATCTGACCTGGGGTGTTGGGAAGGAAGGTTTGGCCCTTGTGCACTACTAGCGTCTAACTTATATTTACTTATTCTTGTATATGTATTTTATCACCACAGCAAAATAATTGTTGTATTTTGTGTCATACAAATTAAGTTTTTTGCCCTCAAAGTTGTCTTTTATGGAGCTGTGTGATTTAAATTGGTAATCCAATTTTCCCATTATGATTTATAAAATCCAGTAAACATTTTGCTGTGGAAATTTTTATCTGACCTGGGGTGTTGGGAAGGAAGGTTTGGCCCTTGTGCACTACTAGCGTCTAACTTATATTTACTTATTCTTGTATATGTATTTTATCACCACAGCAAAATAATTGTTGTATTTTGTGTCATACAAATTAAGTTTTTTGCCCTCAAAGTTGTCTTTTATGGAGCTGTGTGATTTAAATTGGTAATCCAATTTTCCCATTATGATTTATAAAATCCAGTAAACATTTTGCTGTGGAAATTTTTATCTGACCTGGGGTGTTGGGAAGGAAGGTTTGGCCCTTGTGCACTACTAGCGTCTAACTTATATTTACTTATTCTTGTATATGTATTTTATCACCACAGCAAAATAATTGTTGTATTTTGTGTCATACAAATTAAGTTTTTTGCCCTCAAAGTTGTCTTTTATGGAGCTGTGTGATTTAAATTGGTAATCCAATTTTCCCATTATGATTTATAAAATCCAGTAAACATTTTGCTGTGGAAATTTTTATCTGACCTGGGGTGTTGGGAAGGAAGGTTTGGCCCTTGTGCACTACTAGCGTCTAACTTATATTTACTTATTCTTGTATATGTATTTTATCACCACAGCAAAATAATTGTTGTATTTTGTGTCATACAAATTAAGTTTTTTGCCCTCAAAGTTGTCTTTTATGGAGCTGTGTGATTTAAATTGGTAATCCAATTTTCCCATTATGATTTATAAAATCCAGTAAACATTTTGCTGTGGAAATTTTTATCTGACCTGGGGTGTTGGGAAGGAAGGTTTGGCCCTTGTGCACTACTAGCGTCTAACTTATATTTACTTATTCTTGTATATGTATTTTATCACCACAGCAAAATAATTGTTGTATTTTGTGTCATACAAATTAAGTTTTTTGCCCTCAAAGTTGTCTTTTATGGAGCTGTGTGATTTAAATTGGTAATCCAATTTTCCCATTATGATTTATAAAATCCAGTAAACATTTTGCTGTGGAAATTTTTATCTGACCTGGGGTGTTGGGAAGGAAGGTTTGGCCCTTGTGCACTACTAGCGTCTAACTTATATTTACTTATTCTTGTATATGTATTTTATCACCACAGCAAAATAATTGTTGTATTTTGTGTCATATAAATTAAGTTCTGCCCTCAAAGTTGTCTTTTATGGAGCTGTGTGATTTAAATTGGTAATCCAATTTTCCCATTATGATTTATAAAATCCAGTAAACATTTTGCTGTGGAAATTTTTATCTGACCTGGCGGGTGGTGGAAGGAAAGCTTGGTCCTTGTGCGCTTCTAGCATCCAACTTATATTTACTATTCTTGTATAGGTATTTTTATCACCACAACGAAATAATTGTTGTATTTTGTGTCATATAAATTAAGTTTTGCCCTCAAAGTTATCTTTTATGGAGCTGTGTGTGACTTTAATTTGATTATTCACTTTTCCCATTCTGAATTATAAAATCCAGTGAACATTTTGTTGTTGGTAAGCAATATTGATCTTGTGACAACCCTGTTAATCATCGGTTTTGAATGTTATTTAAGTGCTTTGTGTGAATTTGAATGCTTATTATGTGTTTAATATGATTTTTAGGTTCATATCTGTTAACCGTAGGAATATCTGTTGTGATTTCGGTTATAATATGAAATTGAAGGCCTTAATGACGTCAGAAGTTTGATTAAAATTTGATTCAGATTAAATCAATTAAATTAAGCCTTGATTAATTAGTCTTAAGCTCTATTTAACTAACTTGATCCCTAATTAAGGCCCTAAGCTAATCTATGAGAAATGTTAATTAATCTCATTTAGGCAATTAAGCTTGGAAACTCAATTTTAGAGAGAAGAGCTTGGAAGCTTGGAATTTTGCTTGAGAATTGAAGAATTGAGGAAGACAACTTAAGAAATTGCTAGAATTAGTGTTCTTGAAGACTTTAGGTATGTGTTTAATTCCGAATTCATGAATTGAAGTCGAAAAAGGCACTTTTTTCACACTTAAGCTTTAAAATAGTCCATCGGGGGCTCAAATCGTGTAACAGTCACGAGAAGTCCCGGGGAACACCTCAAACACCTCAGGCGGGACCAATGTAAGTTGTGGAAACTTACGGAACTAACTCGGGACTCCCGGTTTGAAAACTATGTCAAAAAATGCACTTTTCAATCACTTAAACTTGAAAATAAGCCATTAGAGGCTAAAATCGTGCAACAGTCACGAGAAGGACCAGGGAATACCTCCAACACCTTAGGAGGGACTAACGTAAGTTGTGGAAACTTACGGAACTAGTACAGGACTCCTAGTTTGAAAACTAAGTCAAAAAATTCACTTTTTTCACATTTATGCTTAAGAATAGGCAATCGGGGGCCAAAATTGTGTAACAATCATGAGAATGCCTGGGAAACGCCACCAACACCTCGAGAGGGACCAACATAAGTTTTGAAAACTTACGGAACTAGCACGGGACTTCCGGTTTGAAAACTAAGTCGAAAAAGTCACTTTTTTCACATTTAAGTTTGAAAATAGGCCATTGAGGGCCAAAATCATGCAACAGTCACGAGAAGGATCGGGGAATACCTCAAACACCTTGGGAGAGACCAATGTAAGTTGTGGAAACTTATGGAACTAGCACGGGACTCCCGATTTGAAAACTAAGTCGAAAAAGATAATTTTTTCACACTTGAGTTTAAAAATAGGCCATTGGGGGCAAAACGTGTAACAGTCACAAGAAGGCTCAGGGAACACCTCAAACACCTCGGGAGGGACCAATGTAAGTTGTGAAAACTTACGGAACTGGCACGGGACTTCCGGTTTGAAAACTAAGTCGAAAACGACACTTTTTTCACGCGTTAGCATGAAAATAGGCCTTGGTGTGGCAAAATCGTGTAACAGTCATGCGAAGGCCGGGCTACACCTCAAACACCTCGGGAGAGAACAACGTAAGTTATTGAAAATATGGAACTAGTATGGGACTCTCGGTTTTAAAAGTAAGTTAAAAAATTCACTTTTTCTGCATTTAAGCTTGAAAATAGGGCGTCGTTGTTCAAAATCGTATAACAGTCACGAGAAGGCCCAGGGAACACCTCAATCTCCTTGGGAGGGACCAATGTCAGTAGGGGAAACTTGCGGAATTAGCACAGGGTTCCCTGTTTGAAATCTAAGTCGAAAAATGCATTTTTTTCACACTTACGGTTGGAAATAGGCCATCGGGGGCCAAAATCGTGTAACAGTCACGAGAAGGTATGGGGAACACCTTAAACACCTCCAGAAGGACCAATGTAAGCTGTGAAAACTTACGGAACTAGTACGGGACTCCCGGTTTGAAAACTAAGTCCAAAAAGGCAAATTTCTCATACTTAAGTTTGAAAATAGGCCATCAGGACAATGTAAACTTACAGAACATGCATGAGATTCCCGGTTTGAAAACTAAGCTAAAAAATACATTTTTTTCACACTTAATCTTTAAAATAGGCCATCGGCGGCCAAAATGGGTCTAACAGTCACAAGAAGGCTTATGGAACACCTCAAACACCTTAAGAGGGGTCAATGCTAGTTGTGGAAACTTACAGAACTAGCACGAGACTCCCGGTTTGAAGACTAAGTCGAAAAATGCACTTTTTTCACACTTAAGCTTGAAAATAGGCCTTTGTGGGCCAAAATCGTGTAACAGTCACGAAAAGGCCCGGGAAACACCTCAAACACCTTGGGATGGACCAATGTAAGTTGTGGAAACTTACAGAACTGGCACGTGACTACTGGTTTGAAAACTAAAGTAAAAAAATGCCCTTTTTCACATTTAAGGTTGAAAATATGCTATCGGGGGCCAAAATCAGTAAAAGTCACAGGAAGGCACGGACCTCGAGAGGGAGCAATGTGAGCTTTGGAAACCTACGAAACGAGCACGGGACTCTCAGTTTGAAAACAAAGTCTAAAAAGGCAATTTATTCACACTTAAGCTTGACAAAAGGCCATTGGGGGCCAAAATCGGGCAATAGTCACAAGAAGGCCCATGCGACACATCAAACACCTCGGGAGGGACCAATACAAGTGGTGAAAATTTATGAAACTAGCACGGGACTCTGCGCTTGAAACTAAGTAAAAAAATGCACTTTTTTCACACTTATGTAACAGTCATGAGAAGCCCTAGGGAACACCTCAAACACCTCGAGAGCGACCAATGTAAGCTATAAAAACTTACCGAACTAGCATGGGGCTCCCGGTTTGAAAACTATGTCGGAAAAGTCACTTTTCTCACACTTAAGCTTAAAAATAGGACATCGGGAGCCAAAATCGTGTAACAGTCACGACAAGGCCCAGGAAACGCATCAAACACCTCGGGAAGGACCAAGAGAAGTTGTGGACACTTATGGAACTAGCACGGGACTTCCGGTTTGAAATTTAAGACAAAAAATGCACTTTTTTCACAATTAAGCTTGAAAATAGAGCATCAGTAGCCAAATTCGTGTAACAGTCACGAGAAGGCCCAAGCAATACCTCAAACACCTCGGAGGGACCAATGCAAGTTGGGAATATTTACGGAACTTCCACGGGACTCCTCGCTTCAAAGCTAAGTCAAAAATTGCACTTTTTTCACACTTAATCTTGAGAATAGGCTATCGGGGGGCTAAAATTGTGTAACAGTCACGATAACCCCAGCGAAATCCCTCAAACACCTCGAGAGGGACCAATGTAAGTTGTGAAAACTTACAGAACTAACACGAGACTCCCGGTTTGAAAACAATGTAGCAATCACGAGAATGTCCGAAGAACACCTCAAACACCTCAGGATAGACCATTGTAAGTTGTGGAAACTTACGGAACTTCAACAGGACTCTCGGTTTGAAAAAGAAGCCAAAAAATGCACTTTTTTCACACTGAATCCTGAAAATAGGCCATCGAGGGCCAAAATTGTGTAACAGTCATGAGAAGGCCCAAGGGAATACCTCAAACACCTCAAGAGCGACCAATGTAAGTTGTAGAAACTTACCGAACTAGCATGGGCTCCCGGTTTGAAAACTATGTCGGAAAAGTCACTTTTCTCACACTTAAGCTTAAAAATTGAACGTCGGGAGCCAAAATCGTATAACAGTCACGAGAAGGCCTAGGAAACGCATCAAACACCTCGGGAAGGACCAAGAGAAGTTGTGGAAACTTACGGAATTAGCACCGGACTTCCGGTTTGAAATCTAAGTAAAAAAATGCACCTTTTTCACACTTAAGCTTGAAAATAGAGCATCAGTGGCCAAATTCGTGTAACAGTCACGAGAAGGCCCAAGCAACACCTCAAACACTTCGGAGGGACCAATGCAAGTTGTGAAAATTTACGGAACTTGCACGGGACTCCTCGCTTCAAAACTAAGTAAAAAATTTAACTTTTTTCACACTTAATCTTGATAATAGGCTATCAGGGGGCTAAAATTGTGTAACAGTCACGAGAACCCCAGCGAAACCCCTCAAATACCTCGAGAGGGACCAATGTAAGTTGTGAAAACTTACAGAACTAGCACGGGACTCCCGATTTGAAAACAATGTTGCAATCACGAGAATGTCCGAAGAACACCTCAAACACCTCAGGATAGACCATTGTAAGTTGTGGAAACTTACGGAACTTCAACGGGACTCTCGGTTTGAAAACGAAGCCAAAAAATGCACTTTTTTCACACTTAATCCTGAAAATAGGCCATCGAGGGCCCAAATTGTGTAACAGTCATGAGAAGGCCCGAGGGAATACCTCAAAACACCTCGAGAGCGACCAATGTAAGTTGTGGAAACTTACTGAACTAGCATGGGGCTCCCGGTTTGAAAACTATGTCCGAAAAGTCACTTTTCTCACACTTAAGCTTAAAAATAGGACATGGGGAGCCAAAATCGTGTAACAGTAACGAGAAGGCCCAGGAAACGCATCAAACACCTCGGGAAGGACCAAGAGAAGTTGTGGAAACTTACGGAATTAGCACCGGACTTCCGGTTTGAAATCTAAGTCAAAAAATGCACCTTTTTCACACTTAAGCTTGAAAATAGACCATCAGTGGCCAAATTCGTGTAACAGTCACGAGAAGGCCCAAGCAACACCTCAAACACCTCGGAGGGACCAATGCAAGTTGTGAAAATTTACGGAACTTGCACGGGACTCCTCGCTTCAAAACTAAGTAAAAAATTGCACTTTTTTCACACTTAATCTTGATAATAGGCTATCGAGGGGCTAAAATTGTGTAACAGTGATGAGAACCCCAGCGAAACCTCTCAAATACCTCGAGAGGGACCAATGTAAGTTGTGAAAACTTACAGAACTAGCACGAGACTCCCGGTTTGAAAACAATGTTGCAATCACAAGAATGTCGGAAGAACACCTCAAACACCTCAGGATAGACCATTGTAA